TCAATGAGGCAGATATTTCGTAACGTATCGTTCAAGAGGAAGTGTTGTAAATTGTAAGTTTATTAGGATTTATTAGTGAATTAAAATTTTACCCCTACAGTCCTAAAAATTATTGTCGTTGTATCCCTAATTTTTACCTATAAATAGAGGGCTTTTGTTTTAATTAAACACCCAAAAATTTTACCAACTTTCATTCTCTCTTCTCTTTTTCTCTATTTTCATAACAATGTTCAAATACATTTGGAATTAAAAAATGATTTTAACATGAACTTTACTTATACTCAGTCAACCATGGTCGAAGTCGGAAAAATATATATTATTTTCTTATTTGCATGCTAGTAGATAAACTTCTCTTCATTGTATTAGAAAAGAGCTTATCCACCTTTGGTTCCAAACTTTTTAGAATCTTCATTGGAAAAAAATGTAGTATAAATATAATGGTATAAATCTTATTCTATGAAATTAATTTGAATATTATTTATTTATTTGGCTCGTGTTTTCGGAATCCCTCTGTTTTCCCTTTACTTATTTTATAAGTATTTTCATTTTAATTTTGGCTCAGATATTTGGAGGGAAAATTTCCAGTTCTCTCTTCCCTTTTTTTTTTTTTTTTTTTTCCAACATCTTCCCTGGATCCTTTTATCAGTAGTGTTTTCCATGTTTTTCCGACCTTTTCTTTTTTGAGTTCTTTGTAGCTTAGATATATTTATTCAATCTCCAACCTCTTTACTTATATATATATATACTGAAAATTAGGCTCTTGATACTATCCTGAGCCGATCTACTTGTTATTTTCTTTAAAGATTGTTTTTTTTTTTTAACTTATTTTTTTAAAATTTTGGCTCATTTTTTTAAAATTTTGTCTCATTAATTATTGTTAATATCTTATTATAGTACCATAGTAATTCAAAAAACAAATCATCGTCATTTATTTGGTAGTCTCCATAGCACTTCGATGATAGGTCATCCGTGCATCATATCCCTTCATTTTAAAGCTTGGTATGGAGAAATCCCTCCATATGTATGCCATCTTCATTAATTTCTGAACCTCCCGACTCATTTTTTTTTTTTTTTGTCATTCTCATGCTTTCTTTTGTTCCTTGTCAATAAAATCAAGGAAAAAAGCAGATCAAATGGGGAAAAAAAAAATTAAAGCTACAATTAACAACAAAAACTAAAGAAAATACATTAGTCTTTGGCAACGGAGTCAAAAACTTGATCATGTAATTTCGCAAGTGCACGGATCACGACAAGTTATAAAGTGAATGCTTACGTTCAAATATCGTATGAGAAAGGTTAATTAGCTACTATCATTTTTATCCTAATTCTAACTTCAATCTAAATTAACGTCGTGTCAAATCAACTAATCAAGAGTTTATTTTATAACTAAATTAAGCTAAGTTAATCTAAATCTATAGAAGCTTAACTAATTTGAGAAGTTTTAGAGGATTAAATGATTAGGAATTCCAAATTCACCAATGTCAATTAACATTCATTTGATCCAACTTCATTCAACCCCCTTTTTTATACTTTTTAGCAATTGAATTAGCCAATTATAACTAATAGTCTCTCTTGAGTAAAACTAGTCATATTCACCTGCTTGGATTTATTATATTCTATGTAAATTAACGTACAAATAAATTAGGGAGGATTTTTGGGAAAATATTATTTCCTTATTTTCACGTAATTTTATTAGAAAATATTGTTTCCTTATTTTCACGTGATTTTATTGGAAAATTATTATTTCTCGTAATTCTTTATGTTATTCCCATCTTTATGGTATGATATGTACCTATAAATAGCGGTCTCTTCATTCAGTTTTGTTTAAGCCAAAATTGCTGTGTTGTAAATTTCTCTCCATATCGTCATTATAATAAAACACGTTTCCTCTGCCTAACTTTCTTTGATTTCTTTACTTTAAATCTTGTTTCATCTTTGTGATATAGTTACACATTTCAAATTGCAGGTTCTTCGTGAATTGATTGGGATTTTTTAGAAATGACTACATTGAAATATGATATTCCGCTGTTGGATCTTAATACAAGGTTTTTTTTTGTAGTAAGTAAAGATGGGATCTATTTTGGTGCAGTTACATTACTGGGTTTTGAGAAGATGCCTACTAATTGGATAATAGAGGAGAAACAATGGAGGGATCAGGAGGCTTTATCGTAGATTCATCTTCATTTATCCAATAATATTCTACAAGACGTCTTGAAGGAAAAAACAATTGTTTTGTGGTTGAAACTGGAGTAGTAATGCATGTCTAAATGTCTTACTAACAAGCTGACTCTAAAGTAAAAGATGTACTTCCATCGCATGGCAGAAAGAGGATCACTGGAAGATCATCTTACTATGTTCAAGGAAATTATCGCAGATTTAGAGATATTGGAGGTTAAGTATGAGGAGGAGGATTTGACATTGATTATGCTATGTTCGATGTTCGCCTCTTATTCGTCTTTTCAGGATGCCATTCTGTACAATCATGATGCCTCGACCATTGATGATGTCTACGATGCTCTGTTCTCTAAAAAGAAGATGAAGCATTTGGTTGGAGCTACATCAAGAGATAAGGAAGCTCTGATATCTCATGGTGATTGACGGAGGGGACTTCAGCAATTTGTACTGCTTCTGCTATAGGAGGAAAGGATACATTAAGAAAGATTGCGATAAGTTGTAGGTTAAAGGTAATTTAACTACAAATCATATGGGACAATCATGCAATTCGGATGAGACTAATGTTACCGAGGATTTTTCAAATGACAGTGATGTGATGTTGACCGTGGTATTTGACATGAAGTCTAAACTTGACGGGTAGTAGATTTTTGATTCAGCATGTTTGCATCATATGTGTTACAATCGAATTTTTTTTCAAACATATGAGGCTATTAAGTGAGGTGAAGTTGTGATGGAAACAACCGGTCTTGCTATATTACTGGAATTGGTCGAGTCAGATTAAGATTGTAGGATGGGATGGTCAGAACAATTGATCAGGTTCCACATATTCCAGACCTAAAAATGAATCTCATCTCGTCGAGTACCTTGGATTTAGAAGGGTATAAATTTTCTGGTGAAGGTGGAGTCTTGAAGGTCCGAATGAGTGTTTAGGTTGTATTGGAAGAACGGAAAAAGTCTGAGTTGTACATCTTGCAGGAAAATGCAGAATCAGTTAAAAGACATCCGGACAAGTTCAGTATCGTGGTGGAAACAGAGTTTGGTACAATATCTCTTGTGACAGGCTCTGGATCGTTTCAGAATATTGCTCAAGGGAGCTTTGATGATTCCGTTTAATCACCAATTTCAGGGGATAAACTATGTTCAGTAGCTAGGGTTGGATCCATTGAGCTTAGGTATGGTGGTGTCGATGATGTCTGTAATACTTTCGAGATCTTCGAAGGCGACAGTTCTAGCAAGGGTCTTCTGATAAGGCATTTGGTGTGGTTTCTACTACAGGGTGTGCTTCGACCCTGTTGGTCAATAGTAATTCCTTAGTGAAATTTTGGGAACCCGAAAGTAGGGTTCAAGTATCGCCCATGGACACCCTGTAGATGAAGATGTTTTTGGTGATTGAGAGTTTTGGTTACTGTGTTAAGCAATTTGGCTATTTCGACGTAGAAGGACTTATTTCTCAGGTGAAAATATTTTGGAGTTTCGTTTGTTGCACTGAAATTTGGGTTAAGGTTGATATCGTTAGATATTGTGTCCCAGGATTTTTTGGAAAATATTATTTCCTTATTTTCATGTAATTTTATTAAAAAATATTGTTTCCTTATTTTCACGTGATTTTATTGGAAAAATATTATTCCACATTATTCTTTATATTATTTTCATTTTTATGGTATGATATGTACCTATTAATAGTGACATCTTTATTTAGTTTTGTTTAAACTAAAATTGTTGTGCTGTAATTTTCTCTCCATATCATCGTTATAATAAAATAGTGTTTCCTCTGCTTAATTCTCTTTAATTTCTTTACTTTAAATCTTGTTTCATTTTTGAGATATTGTTAAATATTTCAAACAACGTCATTAATTTCAATTTTTGCATCGCCTTTGGGATCAACAGCTCATTTATTTTCGTGTTATTGTATGTGGATTATATGTTTATTGCTGCTAAGAATATAGTTGATGTCGACAAATTGAAAACTTGTTGAGTGCATAAATTTGACATGAAGGATTTGGGTGCTGTCAAGAAGATTTATTGGGATAGAAAATTTGGGGGGTTATGATTATCTTAGAGTAACAATGGATGGAAAATGTTAAAAGAATTTTAGCATTCCCAATGCTAAAGTTTGGGCCACCATTGGCGAATTATTTCACATTGTCTACAAACCAATGCCCGAATGAAAGGAAGATGTTGAAGACATGTCAAAGGTAACATATGCTAGTCCAGTAAGATGATGTATGCCATGTTCTGCACTAGGCCAGATGTAGTACATGCAAATAGTGTGGTGAGCAAAATGGAAAAAGGATAGGACGAAAACATTCCATATATAGTAATTGTCTCGTTTGGCAGACTTGGCTCCTGTTTGTCATCCATTTTCTCACATTCTTTCATATTATTTTTCTTCAGTACTCATTTTCAACCACACATTCTTCATTAAAATAATATTACACGTAAATTAAAAAAAAATTCTCATTTTTTAACCACACATTTCAACATCAATTACTATTCTATAATACATTCTTTCCAAATAATGGGTGACAAACAAACCCTTATAGGCTTTGCTTCGTGTGTAAGTGTTTCTCTAGGCAGCCATTGTGGGCCAACTTCCACTATATACTCTTCTAATTAGAAGTATGTTAGAAAATTATTTAAATACGTTCAAAAACAACTTCGTGATCTTAGAAAGCTCTTTTGATTTTTCAAAAGCTCTATCAAATGAGAATTTGAGTTAATAAATTTGCATTAGTTATTCATGAGAAATTGATCGTTAGCGTTCTTGTCGCCGAACACAATTATAAGTATATTTATTAATAAATAGCTTAAATAAAACACGTTCCTATTCGACGAGAATGTCGGCTCATTTGAGAAAATACAAGTAATGGTATAAACATACAATACTAGCGAAGGTGAATGAACTCTGAAGCCACATTTGGACTCATGGAATTAAGACTCCGGAATTGAATTAAAGAAAAAGAAAATACTTCTCCTTAAATTTCAATCCATATACCTCAATTCCAAGTTTCCAAACATGTCACTAATTTGTGTTTGCCAAGATCAAACCCTGGAATCCAAAGCCATTATGGTGTTGAGGTTCTTTGGGTACATGTGAGTTCTAGAGCCATTGAAGATCTGTTCTACAATCAGTCTGTTGGCCCTTTCTGATGGATGGAATGGATCCCAAAAGACATAGTCATCTCTGTTATCGCATATGTTGGAGAACACCGTGCAAAGCCCGAATCCATTGTAAGGTCCTTGCCCACAACAGGCTGTCTTCGATTCCTTAAATCCTGTTCAATTGAGCATATCAAGTCCTTCAATAACTTCGTTAAACTCGAGTTTACAGTTGAGATTTTGATAAAGGGTCGAGAAAAAGAAGTAGAAAAACCACAATTAAATTAAAAGTTCAGAGGAATAATAAAGGATATGTGTCTGGAAAGATAGGTTTATACAAAATGTATGAATTTACTTTACTGCTATATTTAATAATTGGCTAGATGTAATTTAGGCTTTATTTCTCTTTTTGAATTATTCTCAACATAATGCAGGATTTAATAAATTCAATAGGCAAATGCTGTATTTGGTTTATTTCTCAAAGGACAACCTAATGTGGCCCTGCTACGTTTCCAGCTATGAAGAAAGAGCTAAATGTATCATTAGAGGGTGGGAATCTCCAGTATCCGAACACTAGCTTCTTCACAGGCCTGGCAGTATGGATTAATCACTTCGCGCGAAAGAAGACAAGGGAATGGCGATCGACTTTGGGGAAAGAGGGACTTGACAACCCTATTACATGTACTAGGAGAATTGTCAGATGGCAAGTACTGGGAGAATTGTCCGTATGTATTAAGGGTGACGTGGTGCACATTCATTGGATCTTGGACAAAAAACAGTTTTATCCCGATCAATGCACAGATGCCACCTGTCACCCTAGCATTCTCTGTGGCAATCTCCCCTATACAAGGGGCTTAACTTAGGACTTGAACCCTCATGAATTTTAAAGTATAAAAATTTTCTCGTTACTTTAAATTCCGTTGTTTCCATATTGGCAAAACAAAAACAAGAAAACTAAAGAAGAGGACGTACCAAAAGCTTGAGGATTGATAAAGTATTCCATGTGCATTGCATTGGTATTTACTGCTACGAAAACATCATATCCAATCTTTTTGTTGAGTTGATCAATCATTAGAACCAATTGCGAGTTGAAGAGTGATGCTGCAAATTGCAACTCTTCTGCACATTCTCCTGTCTTACTATGCAATGCCAATTCTGCCGGTGTACACCCTATAGGCCCCGTCCCTGTCACTAGAATCCTACGAGCACCGAGCTCATAGAGTCTCTAAATGGGATAAAAATAACAAGAATTAATATATTAATCAATTGCACGTTGTGCTCCTGCTGTCTAGGCTCCATAAATGCAACGGAACGACAAAATATTGTCCCCAAGTATGTGCACGTGAGCTTGTAAGTAGAGGTGTAAATTGCGTTGTGTCGTAGGGACTCAAGGTCACCCCATTTAGCTTTCCACAACCATAACCCGGAATAGTTCTTCAGTTATTGTTTTTCAGAAAATCAACTAAAAGTTGTAAAGTGTTAATAGAAAAGATGGGTCAGACCCATAACTAGTGACAGCTACTCAAAGGCACGGAGAGAAACTTACCTGTAAAATTTTTTTGTACTCAACAATGAGAAAGGCCACATATGGTCGAAGTTCAAATTGGAGAGACCTTAGAGTAAGGGGCATCAAGTAATAGTTGTTCACAAAATCATTGCCTCCTAATGTAATGAGAACTAGCGATTCATTTATGAGTTTCTCAGTTGGACCTTCTCCAATAAGTGCTTTAACATTCTTCTGATATTGTTGAAAATAATTCAGCTGATCGTAAATTCGAATCATGTTTACCTGCAGATTAATGCAGAGCATTATTTGAAAGTTTCATTACTTTTTCAATGAGAATGAAAGGAAAGAAAAATGAGTAGGAAAAATGTAAATTTCTTTTCATAATTTGTTCCAGTAAATGATTTTCTCTATTGATAAATAATTTAAATTTAGCAAAGTAGTTCTTAATTTCTTTAATACATTTATGACATGTTTGATAAGAATGTTAGATAATATTAAAAAGATAAAATATTGTCTCTTATATTGTTTAATCCTATTTAATTGTACGAATTTTTTAGTGTAACAAGCAAGATTTATTGGTTATACACTCGATTTCTAACCTTCCCACAAATTTCCCCCTAATCAAAGCCTTAAAGAATATCCGTTAAATTTGAATCACTCTTAAGTACTCTTATTGTACGTTTAGAAGCCCTTGGATGATATCGTTAATTCTCGATCTCTCATACATAAGTATAAATAATGCATCTCTTTATACTATATTCCCTTCGTACAATGTAGATTGCTTAGTTCATGAGTCGTATAGAAGGACTTCTCTCACTATAAATAACTAAACCAAACGTTGGTTTCAAAATGGGTATCAAAGAGAACAAAATTGACTTCATACAATTGGACGTATAAATTTTCACAGAGCATGTTATGTTCACTAATAATTAGTTTTCTCTTTTGTTGGCAAAAGAATTAGACTCCATTAATTATTCACAATTATTATTATTATTATTATTATTATTATTATTATTATTATTATTATTATTATTATTATTATTATTATTATTATTTATTTATTTATTTGTTTATTTTTGAGTTTGAAAGGGAAACTATGATTAATGTCTCTTATATGCTTTTAATGCAAAGATTATGTACAGGGACCACAACATATATATTGGAAAAATCATCTTATGTTGCTAGTTGAAATTACTTTTATTTGAGAAAATAATTAATTAAGTGAGAATACATTAATGAGCAGAAAAGAAATGATTATTTTCAACTCACAAATTGGAAACCAGTGTCATCAAGTATGCCAACCCCAGCAGAAGCAAAGTTGGCTCCAACAAGTAGTTTTTTCCCTGTAAGATTTGGATGTAAGCATGGCATTAGGGGTTCCCAGCCCAACTTTTCACCTAGTTGAAATACAAATAAATCAAAATTCAGATGTATGTTTGCTCGTATGATTATCTAAATGATGAAAAGATTTTACATAAAATAAACAGTATATGAACTTTACTGATTAGGTCAGCAATGTTAAGGCCATTAGAGAAGCGTCCAGTTGCCGAGTGAGTCGGGTAGTCAATCCCATATGGTGGCATGTCCGCCCGAGCCGTAGTGACCAAGAAATTGTTGTTACCGATGTCGACCAAAGAGTCTCCGAACACAAAAAATGCCTCAGCCTTTGCAGTAGCACATCTTAGTGCCAAAATAACTACAAGAACAAAATAAACACTGGGATTATTAAAATTCATATTTCCAATAAAGCTATATTCAAGAAATTTTTTAGATTTCTCAAGAAATAAAAAATTTTGGAACTCAATTTTTTGTGCTTCAGATTGAAAGGGATGCATGTTATAAGCATGATAAAGGGTTGATGCAATTAATAGTAGATTTAACTAATGACCTAATGCAATTAATTAGTTGACAAAGAAACAAAGTATTTCCATTGACATAATAAATTTGACAGTTGTGACACTGAACTTGATTCATTCGATCATTGGTTGGATTATTACAATTTTAGTCAAGAATTAGCTTTCTTTACTATAGTCAATTATACTTTCTGAGCGCATCACCTTTATATTTATTGCTTTGGTTGACTAAAATAAAAGAAATTGAATAAATCTCCCTGTCCCAGGTTGGGGACACGGCAACCCGGGACAGGGAGTAGAGCTCAAAGAAATTTTCAACAAAAGTGTGAAAACTTGGGATTGACTTCGCTGATTTGAGTGATTAAGCCAATGTTTGACAAGCATAGGAATAATGATATTAGAAGAAAGTGTTGCTATAGAGTAAGGAAATGTTTTGTATTTACGTGTAGAATATTTTATCGTGTGAATGTATGGTTGAAAATGAGTATGAAGGAAAAATAATTTTTAAATAATAGTGTGCTTTTGATTGCAAGCATGAAATTTACATAGAAAAATAAATTCTAGGCAATTCAATTACTTAGAACGTATTTGTATGTAAATTATTAATTAAACCCTGTTTATCCCCCATTAAATTATCTTTCATATTTTCCTTTTCTATTTTCAATCACACAATCTTTTATAAAATAATATTACACGTAAATAAAAAACCTTTCATTCTTATTTTATCACTTATTTTTCAAAAAATACTATTCCACCTATTTTCATTTAAAAAAAAGGATCAAACGGGGGCTAAATGTGTTTGATTGATTTACTTTTTAACCTAAAAAATATTACACTTATTTATTTTTTATTGCTGAGTAGATGAGAGAGAATGGATAGATAAGAGAGAAAGAGAGAGTAAATTCTCTGAAAAATAAAATCCTACTCCCCATAAAGAAAATATTTTTCTTGATCTTAAGGAAATTATGGTCACGTAACCAAAAGTAAGAAAATATTTTCTATGAAAAAACTTATCTATCAAACAACACAAAAGTAAAAGTTTGGACCAAAAATACATTTTTTATGAAAAATATTGACAATCAAACGCACTCTTAGAAACAAAATAAATCACATTTAAAAAAAAAAAAAAAGTGGTTTGACGTGACCGATTTAACTCATTTAGAGTTATTTTACATTTATAAGATACAATATAAGTTGAAGTGCCTGAAGATAGTGAGTCCTAAAAAATATGTGATTATTAAGTATTATAAGTTGTCCATCCTATAGAACATGTAATAAAAATGAAGTTTGATCAACTTCTAAGGACTTATAGACTTTGAAAAATGTGCACATAATTAAACTCATAAATTTCTTTACATTTTACATTGTATTAGGCTCCACTTTCATCACACGAGTATTTGACGTATTCTAGTCTATTCCTAGAATGATGGAGTGAATTTGTCTTAAGCGTACATTGTAAATAAATGGTTACAACTAATTTAGATTTGTTAGCGTCGCTCGATTGATGTACCTTATGAAGTCTGTTGACCGACTTTAGATCATTGAGGCTCAGATGAAGATGCTGAAGGGATGAAGTTGAGTAGGTTTTGATTGACTTCTGGTCAATGGTCGTCCAGACCTTTGCCTAATTTTAACTCAGGTTGATTAGTCTATCATACAGTTTATCCATCAATGGATTTATATAACATGTTGTTGTGGGTTGTCTCTCTATTCTTGATTTGGGCCAAATCTAATTGTCTTTGGGCCATGCTGTTTGGGTTACCGAGTTTTATTCTTTAGGAAAAACGCATTATTGAAAACGCGACTCCTTCTAAATTGTTAGATGAATTTCTAGCCTACATTTGGCATTATTGTGACCATTGGATCTGGATTTTTTAGTTGGACTATATATAGGCTCCTATGACCCTTCGAGGCATTGTGCAGTCACTTTCTAGGGTTTTCTTTCATATTTTCTAAGAGCATTTCATCTTCTTCGTGATTTCTGATTTTCAATCTCTGTAAACTCTTAATGATATTTAGATTGTATTTTGTATATAATTTGAGAGATTGTAAGGAGAGCAATTTCTTTGTAAAGGGAGGCAAAAGAAAACTTAAGGGAAGAAACTGTGGTTTCTTCATACATTTGTATCGATTCTTTGTGATTCTTAGTGGATTTGAGCCTAATCTACTTGGTAGATACTTAACGGGTGAGTAGGTTTCGGCTAAACATTCGAGCCTTAATGGGCAAAAATTCTTGGTGTTTTTGCTTTCTGCAGTTTTATTTGTTTTCTACAAATCGTTTATGTATAAATATTGATCCCGAGACCAACAAGTGGTACCAGAGCACCTTTTTTAAGGGTTAGTGTTAGGATTAAAGATTTTTTGAAAACCCCAAGAATTGCAGATCTAAATTTTTCGAGTTTTTTTTATTTAGTTTTTTTGAAAACAAAGTGTGTTTCCTGAAACTTCTTGTTGAGATTTACCTTTGATTCAATTTTTGATTAGATCTTTGGATACTTCATGATATTTTTGTTTCTTGTTTTTAAAAGAAATTTGTGGTTTCTTCTAGTTTTTTGAAGTTCTGGGTTTTTCTGAAAACCTCTTAGTTGTATTTTTTCAAAACTCATTCTGAGTGACAGTGAGTTAACTTGACTCACCACGATTCCTGCTGTTATTGTGACTCACTACTGAGTCATACTGAGTTGCTGTGACTCATTGGCTTCCTATGTAATATCTTGGATTGTGCAGCTGTTTCTAGTACTTCCTTACTACTTTCTTCATCCTGAAACATTAAGGTTTCAGTTCTTGTATAAATCCCTTATTTTCTTTATTTTTCAGTCAACTATTAAATTGTGTACTATCTATTTTGAGTTGGTTATTAAGGTAAGTGATCTACTGCTATCTTCCTTTGTCCAAAGTCTCCTGCGAGGGCCTGGGAATCTGGGGGTAGTGGACTTACAGGTCACCACTCCTTAGGCCATTCAAATTGGTAGTTTAATTTGATTTAAATTGTTCTTGTTGATCAATTGCATATCTTGAAATTAGGTTGTGATATTGAAATCCTTATTGTTCTCTTACACTGTCTATCTTGCTATATCATGCGTGGCATATAATTTTGAATCTGTGACTTTATCTGTAATCATGACTACTTCACAAAAATTTGAGGTAGAAATATGGAAAGAGATTGGAGAATTTAGTTTGTGGCGTCAGAAAATGAAAGCTTTGTTATTACAATAGAGATGTAGTGGGGCTATTGATGGGACATGGAGTACTGAGATTAGTGCCTATAGGAGACAAGAATTGGATGAGATTACTTGGAGTTCTATATTCTTGCACCTGTTTGATAGTGTTATTAGGAAGGTTGGAGAAACTACTAATATACAAGGTCTTTGGACCAAACTTGAGTCCATGTATTCGACTAAATCTATGCCTAATAAATGCTACCTACTGAGGCAATTTTACAATTTTAGATTTGATGCCTCTTCAAGCTTAGAAGAGAACATTGATAAATTCACAAGACTGGTCAAGAATTAATTGATTGTGATGAGAAACTGTCTGAAGATCAACAAGTTGTTGCTCTATTAAATACACTAGATGATAAATACAGAGATCTGAGAAATACCTTAGAGTATCGAAGGACTGACCTTATTGTTGATATTGTTATATCATCTTAAAGGAATAGGGAACTTGAATCGAAAACTGAATCTAAAGATCCTAAATTTGGAGAAGGTCTAAATGTTAGGGAAAAGGTAAATCAAAACAAAAAGACCAACTAGAACAATCTATGCAATTTCAATTCACACAATAAAGGACGACCCCAATTTCCAAAATTCAGGAATCAAAATAAAATTCAAATAAAGCCCAAGCCACTTGCCAAAAAATGCTACTATTGTGGTAAAACTGAACATCTCATAAAAGATTGTTTTAAGAAAATATAGGATATGAAAGGAAAAACAAATGTAGATTTGTCTGCAGCTATTGCCTACAATAATGAATCTGATATTCAAGGAGTTGTCCTTGTTACCACATCCAAAAGAAACCTAAATGAATGGATTTTAGATTCTATGTGTTCTTTGCATATGTGTCCCATTAAAGAATGGTTCACTGACTTTACTGAATTTAGTGGTGGTCAAGTTCAGATTGGATATAACATGACCTATCAAATAAAAGGTATTAAACCTAAAGCTTTTGCTAGAAAACAATAATATCCTTTAACTGTCCCAAACCAGATATGTGCCTAACCTTCAAAGAAATTTGATTTCTCTAGGGTAGTTGGATGATGAATATGAAATCATGATTCATAAAGGATTAACCAAAATAAGTCTAAACTCTAAAGAAATAATTTCTTCTCCTAAATCCAATGGAAATCACACAGCAGGTTGAACCGTTGGTTGGAAACAACTATGTAGTTGTGAAGTCTCACGATAACAAAACCTTAATTTGGCATAGGAGACTAGGCCACATTAGTCAAAAGGAATTGACTATTTTAAACAGATTAAAATGTTTTGGAAATGATAACATTGAAAAACTTGAGTTTTGTGAAGATTGTGCTATTGGTAAACAAAATAAAATGCCTTTTAAAACTGGGATTCATAAATACACCTCTATACTTGAGTATCTACATGCTGACATGTGGGGTCCAACATCAGTAAATACTCTAAGTGGTTTTAGATTTTATCTGTTAATTGTAGATGATTTTTCAAGAAAATTTTGGACCTTTCTTTTAAAGTACAAATTTGATACTTTCTAAGCTTCTAAGCACTGGAAACTTATGTTAGAAAATCAGACAAATAAGAAGATCAAAGCACTTAAAATAGATAATGGGCTTGGATTTTGTAACTTTGAATTTGATTCCTTTTGTAAAGAATCTAGAATTTTAAGGTACAGAACTTTAACATACACTCCTCAGTA